CCACCGACTAACGAACTAAAAAGGAATCTTCAGGCATCAGCCTTTTATAGTCTCGTCAGAAACTCCTGGTGTACATAATATAAAAGTATCCTTTTAAAGTTATAGGAATTATTATGAATATTGTTACTAAAGACTTCATATAAGATAATTAATTCTCCTCGCTTTTTTGACGGATACATTTGTTACATTTAATGGATACATTTGTTATGGATACATTTGATACATTTCTACAGTAGATCGGTCGGTCGCATGCTTTTAATGGAGATGACGAAAAGTCTAATTGTTTACTTAAACGTTTGTATATTACGTAGAAATTGTAGACTCATTTAATGTCTGATACTTTACATTAGTATCTAGCATTTGACGTGGATATTAATTAGCTTTGTTGTTGCAAGCCTTAAATATTTACAGGATATATGATATAGGTCAAAATATATTACTGTATTAGTTCAATGTGCTAGCCTAAGCTTAAAATAAAATTATAATCCTTTTCAATAGACGATTTGCTGCAGTTGAGCATAAATTAGGATGATACCTGGATACACTAGTAATAATTAATTATCCTACCTTAGCGGACATGAAAGTGATTAGAGTACAACAGGTGTTTTTCTCATCAAATCGTCTACAACGCTATTCCACTTGACTCTATAATCTATTATTTATTTACATTTTATTATTTAAGATGATTCAATCATTATTATCGTATAATGTAATTAAATTGCATGTAAGCACGACATATGTCTTAATAGTTACAAGGAAATACTTCAAGTGTAATAGTACGGTATGAAGTTAAAGCTTCATTAAAAATATTTGCAAAAGCATGCTGATAGTTAGCGGAAAACGCCACAAATAGTAAGCAAAAAAACTTGGATCACTCATTCAATTTCTAAAAAGCAAGACGATTTACTATCGGTTTCATAGTTTAGCAACACAATTCTTCGACCATGAAAATTTATGGTCGGACAAGCAGTTAATCCTGTATGAAAATCTATCTAGTTTGAATATTTATAACCCCAAAACACTATAGCTACAAATCACTCTACCATTCCCTCACTTCTACATACAGGACATTCAATGGAATCTTCAACACTCTCAACTCATCATCAAGCGTGGAGAGGGTTACTGGTTAGTAACCCACGTGAAAAAAGGAATAATATTTGCATGAAATGTAAAGCTAATCTTGTATCTTGTACCCAATGCAATTTAACGAGAGTGTCAATAAACTAATTAATATTACTTCCATAATCAATGAAGATGATTCATGTGTACTGTATACTGTACAGATGGATAAAGTATACCCCCAATGTCAGTAAAACCAATACCCAAAAATAAATAAAGCAAAACATGATTAAAAGCAGTGTAGTCTATGTCTAGTCTATCGTCAATGCAATTGCTGAGTTAGTTTAATGTCTAATACAGATCGTAGTCAAAGAGGGACTTGAAAGAGAAAAGGAAAACATCTGTAACAAAACGTTGGTAAAATAGGAGGAGAACATAAAGATCAACATAGGGATGGAGAAAATGGATTACAAAATTGCAGCCTATCTATCATTACGCATCCCATCTAGTCTAAAGTAGATATTGATGACAGTCTTGTAATACTATAGATGGCGATCTCTTCAGCTATTAACAAATTAAATCAACATCACTTCTATCAATCAAGATGATGGATGTGTGTACTGTACAGATGGATAAAGTATACCCTTTATGTCAGTAAAACCAATACCCAAAGATAAATAAAGCAAAACACGGGGCGAATGTAATGGTTGAGTTGGTTCAATTCCAATTATAAATGGTAGTGAAGAAAGATTTGAAGAGAAAAGGAAAACATTTGTAAAAAGATTTAGGATTAAGATGAAGGTAAAACAGGGTGAGAAAATAAAAATAGGGATACAGAAAATGATTTGCGAAATTGCAGTCTATCATGGACTATCTCGTCGATCATAAAGCAAACCCCCAAAAAGTCAGTTTAACCAATACCCAGAAATAAATCAAAACAAAATTAATAGTATTGCAATCAATGCAATTGTGCAGCTAGTTTAATGTTTATTGCAAATTGCAGTAAAGACGGACTTGAAAGAGAAACAATCTCAGCAAGTTCTTGGTCAAAATAACATGAGAAGATAAAATAGTCAATGTATTTGGTACAACATTTCTGCTAGCAAAGGCGATCATGACTGGAAGGGATATTGCAAACAGAAAATCGTCTTACCTTGTTGTCCATGTTATCTTCCACTTTTTCTCGACCCAAAAGGTGAGATTGCCTGCTTTCATTCTCTTTCTCACCTTGCTATCCACAGTTTACGAGGTAAATTAGTGATTTCAGTTAGAGCCAAGAAAAGTTGATGGCGAGCATGCAGTAAGCAGCGTGCCTGTGCCATACTTTCTCAGTCCAAGTGAGGTTACTCGGTTGATATCTTGCTTATAATATTGTCCGCTGTAGAGTCAATTCCTACTCCTATAGGGCGACAAGCTATTTTGCACAGTAACTTGCAGCGCCGACTCTCTACTTGGTCTTCCTCTTCTTCTACTGCATTCTACACGTGAAAATGGCAGTTAACCATCAAACGTCTTTTTTTCTCACATTCTTTTTCCATACTACAGATTTCTCTCTTATACTTATTAATCTGTGCTTTTGATAGATATTGTTGGGTGTTAGCAATCTCATCTTGCTTAGCAGGTAAGTCTTTCAACCAGTTAAAGCAATCTTAATTAATCGATATCATTTTAAACGCAAACCCTAACATTATTGCCATAATATAA